AAATGGACATGCGAGGGAGATGTGGCACAACGGCTAGGGTCTTTTTGCGAGGCCTAATACGGGCCATTCGCTTGACGGGACGAGCAGACATGGACTCCGGGTGCTGCAGTGTCGCTGTGCGTGCATTCGCTTGTGCGTTCAGCTGGCCTGTTTGCACCCCTCATACAACGGTAAAGGTTTGGGGTTTTGGGGTTTAGGGTTTTGGGGTTTAGGTTTTTAGGGTTTATAGGGTTTAGGTTTTTAGGGTTTAGGGCTTAGGGTTTTAGGGTTTAGGGTTTGGACAAAGCAGTTCTTGAGACCCCGCGCCCGCAACTTCCTTTCCCGGTCACCCATGCTCCCCAAACCAGGAATGCAAAATGCTCAAGCGTGTTTCGGTTAGCACACTTGAACTCCTCAAACCCGGGTGCGAAAGCGGATCTTTTCTGGCAGCAATGCAGGACATCTTTCGGTCAGCAACAGATCGAAGATGCATTTAACGGCAGTGCTGGAGCAGTTGCAACTACGAATCGAAATACGAACGTTAGCTGGATGCTTCTCTGTATACCAGGCTCTTGGAGGGCAAGGGCAAGACTATAGAGCCTATATTTCATGAAGAGTTCGGAAATAATGTAGAAGAAGTGAATGTAGCTAGTTCGTCAAGAATTCGGTGAAGGAAACTAGAGGGTATGTCCGCGCGACGAAACAGTGACTTGACTACCTGCTTCACAGCTTGATCAGACGTCACACAGTGCAGTGGTCTGAGGCGCAGCTCTTCAGTCAGCAAAAAACAACCTGACTAGCATCAACAGAGGCAACTGCAGAAAGCCCAACTGCCGCAAACGAGTCCTTCTGGGAAATGCTTTTGCACCAGGGAACTCATCGCAGACAAAGGCAAAATGCCAGCTACCATAAGGAGAGTTCAGGACCGGAACGAGACTTGAGGCCATGCTACTACATGGTAAACGGAGAGAGTTCGCATATCATACACATCATGCCGGTAAACATCGAATACGACACCCGTACTACACGTAGTACTGTTTGCAAACCCCTAAGAGATCCCCTGGATGTGAAAGGCTCAGCATCGGCTGCACCCAGAAGGGGTCGGTGGTGTCACGATATGGAGGACACCAGCGGCCGAGGACGAGCTCCAGTAAAGAAGCAGCTAGCAGCTGCTCGTCAGACCAAGGCTTTGAGGCTTCCGAGACGCGGAAGCAAAGAGAAACCTTTCTCTTCTTCGAGGTTTGCAGCTCCCGGGTCTGCCATGATGTTATACTATAATTATAATATCTAAAGGAACCCCTTACTTAAGGCCCTATTCTAATTATTGAGGCCCCTACATTATAGCTTGTAAGACCCTCGGATTTCAGAAGCCTCAGATGTGAGCTGTGGAGTTCACATCTGAGGCTTAAGTCCGATTTCTTCCTTTCTTCGTCGAGCACACGCTTATTAAGGGGCACATGCCAACGTTCGTGCTCGCTTCTACATGTCGAAGAGGCATCACTTGTTTTAAGAGTCGGAATTCAGTCCTTCGCAAGACCAGGTTGAGCTGCTACCCCGTATGAGTACTATGAAGTGATGTCTTGAAGCTGCTGGCGTGCGGGTCCTGGAAAAGCCGCAAGCAGCAACTCGTTGAACTGCGAGCCCGCTTCCCTTCGAACTTCAGCTTGATCATCATTGCGAGAAACCGGCATAGCGATCATGTGATTGAGGCGGCAACATTGTGTCTGTGGTGGTGGGGGGGGGAGAGGCGTGCGATAGGGGCGAGCTCCCGAAGTCTAGCCAAGCTCGAAGGCATCAACCCCTGTGCAGCGTCGACGCCGCCAGCGACACGAACCCATGCGACTGACCGTCACAGCTATGGAAACGATCTTTGGACAAAGTATGAGCAATTAGGCAAGTACATATCGCCGTTGGTTGGTGACGACCCTATACACTCTGCAAAACACAGCGGAAACACACACACGCACACACATGCAAAAACGGACTCGGACACACCGCAAGTGCGGCAAACAGCGGTGCTTCTGCATGCCTTACAGATCTGTGTGGGCTGCACTGCCGCACTAGAATAGAAACAACAAAGTGAGATATGAATGCCACAACATGAAAGTCGGTGACGTACATACCCAAACACCAGCACACGAAAATCCTGGCACACGCAAACAAACCGTGCAGCCTGCGGCTACCACCGGCAAGATTCAGCAAAGAGGGTCTGAGTCTCACTGCTAAGACCACTCCAAAGCCGGGTGTCCAATTCACTGGGGATCGGGTTCCGACATGCCTCGCGAGGGCAAGGAGCGAAGTTCAGTGCCGGAAGTCAGCGAAACCTTCGACTCTAAAGCAAAAGAATACACAATAATATTCATAATAATAATAATAATAATAACAATAACAATAATAATAATAATATAGTAATAATAATAATAAAGCAAGAAGTTCTGAAGAGGAAGCGAATCATGGCTCGGCATTGAGCAGCTTTTCCAAGCTCAGCAAAACGCGGAGAGGCTGATGCTGCATTTTGGGGAAATGCTCTAAAACTGCGGTGGAACATGCTGACAAAGAAATAAGGCATGTCCCCACAATGGCCCCGTATCCGAGGCCTAGCAAACAATCTCGAGAGGCAAAACGACTCACTCCGCAACGTCCAACGTCACTCTCTGTCCGGCAGACGCGGCAAACTGCCTGGACGTCAGTGACTCCAAGGTGTTCATCTAGGGGTGTTAGTCTAAGTGAACCCTCCTCCGTAGGTTTCGCGGCACTTCGCATGTGTGATTCACAAACGGCCGGTGAGCGCGGAAACCGGCATCCCGCACCAATTCTTCCACTCGAATCCGGACAAAGGAGCCAACATTGTCACATGGGTACAAGATGTGACGGGACATGAAGCTTGGAGCCTCGGCTTAGGCCAGCTTGAGAACTCCACTCTGGAAGCCCAGCGTGCCTGCCATTGCCTCAGGGGGAACCAGCAGCTTTACATCGTGACTGCAGTCCGAACATAAGAAGTAAATGCACACTCCGCGGAATCCAAATCCCTCCACCCAGAAGCAAAAGCCCACAGTGTAGCCCACAAGGGGCTCCTAAAAGGGCCAAGGAGCCACAGTGAAGTAGATGAATTTTTGCACCTCGGGCTCGCCGCGGGGTATTTGGGACTTCGGATCTGGGTGTTACGACGGACAGTGAGATGAATGCCTCAGTCCATGAAGGAAGGAGCAGTCTTCGTGCTCCAGGACAGGAGTGCAACCTGTCTGGCCGCACACAAGCGACGTACCCACACACACACACACACACACACCTTGCACAGAAGCACTGCCAGACAGGCCTCTGACAACAGAATACAGTGAGCAGGGGTGAGGTTACGCCAAGTGGAGTGTCGGTACACAAGGGACTGCAAGGGTTACCGTTTTGTTACTCGAGATCGGCATGGGTTTTAGCTAAAACCCATTCTGCTCCTTGAGCGCGACGGGGAATGTACGGTCTGCGGTGTAGCCACGATGTATTAGCGTTCTCTGAGGTTGACCTCCAAAACCTAAGTGACCTGTTAGAGCTACATTGCCTAACCCGATGCTTGCACGGTCCGAAAGTCGAGCACAGGTCTGTATTTTAGGTCGCACGCTTTAGTGGCCTGCTGCCTAGTTCATCGACGTTGATGCTTCCTAAACTCCTGTTGAGAAGCTAAGCTGCTATCAAAACTTCAATATCACAAGCTGCTTGTCTGCTTATGAAATTCCAAGTCGTACAGGATTCCGACTCCGGGGTTGCGGCGAGCTGTTGGTAAATTACATGTGACGCGAGGTTGAAACCGCAAATTGCTAGAAGAATTGTCCGAAAGCTCTTGCAGCCACGGCGCCAGACCCAAGGTCAAGCAGGTGTCCCAAATGAAGAAGCCACACTCACTCATGGAAACGAACAAGGCCAAGTCGATGTAGTCTCGTTCCTTTCAGATGTCGTACGAATCTGCAACTTCCGGACATCTTCTGACACTGCCAAGCACCGTGCAGTTCGAGCCTCTTCAACATCCGGTGCGGTCAGAGACAGTCTTGGCGAGGCTTATAACTGAGGACTGCATTCAAGCAATGGCGCGACAGCGCCGATTGTGGCCGCACTTGGAAGAGTGCTTCGGCACGGCTGCTACTAATCACACAAGACGACGTCAGATACGAAAAGGAAATCCCGGAATCGAATCGTCGATGCGCGGGGACCCTCACTAAACAAGTCCGGGCTTCGTTGCTGTCCTCCGAGGGTTCCCACCTTGCTATGCAACAAGCCAACACTCCGAGGACAGAGTGCCCATTCCCACAACAGGCTTTGGGACGTTCGGATTTGGTGCAAGGGTGGTTCCCCAGTGCGGACTGAAAGAGGACGCTACAGCCCAGAACTCCACTTCAATCGCACTGGGAGCCATGTGGTAAAAACATACATACATATCACATACAGACATGCATACATACATACTTACATACATACATACATACGTGCGTACATACATACATACATACATACATACATACTTACTTACTTACTTAAATACATGCATGCATACATACATACATGTGTATGTAGATATCTACAGGTATATATAATAATGAAATGATGAAACAATGAATTGACAAGATTGCTTCTTGATGAAAGTGGTTTGAGGGCGGGCCAGCACCCCAGATGGATAATCGGATAGTCCTCCGCACCTCGTAGCACCAAACTACTTTGCTGAGATGGTGAAATCGCGAAATCGTGAAACGGGTGGTTTGCGGAAATGCCTGTTTTGTTGTGTGTTTTCTTTGGAGGTGGGGAGGGGGGGTGGTTTACCGGGGCATTCACATGATTGTAAACTGCATGTCAAAAGAATAGAAAATCCTGGGTTTTGCAACCCGTGGTTTACGAACTTGGCGGGAGTTTCACTATCCCGTGCCACGATCAACGGTACTTCGTCAACAATTGAACCCAACTGTTCGAGAGATTGGGTGCTTGGAGCGAATGAGAAGGATTGCAATGAAGCTAAGCAAGGACTAGGAGAAGGCATGTATCCGGTTTCTTTGAGGAATGACATGGTGACTTGGTGAGAAGCATGATGTGCTGTTCCCCGAGACCATTCCCTTGTTTGTAGTTCCAGCACATGGGGTTTACAAGAGAAAAGGTAAGCCATGCACATATTTAGCGAAAAGGCGCTTATACGTCAATAGCACAGGAATCGTAGCACTGCAGATCCAGTGCTGAGTAAGTGTGGTTCGGAGCATAAACGCGAGGACATTGGAATACCAAGGCGTACAGAAGGTTGAGATGCGACTGACGAGACCTCATTGTAAGGACAAACAGTATATGCGTTTTACAGCCTGGTTATGTTTCATCACTTGGTACATAGACGATCTTGCGGCAACATTATTTCCAACCATCATTTCAAGGATGTCCCATCCTGGTATTTGACATACAAAAGGTTATACACGCGCCCCAGATTTCCTTCTTTCTATATGTACATACTCATACATACCCTTTGCCCTTACAAAGCCAATCTGCCAGAACGTTAAAGTCGCCAATAAAGATTACCATGTATGATAGTATCCTCCAAAGCCGATATTGTTTGCCGCAAAGAGCCCCTCCTCATAAGTCATCCCCATGTGCTTGGAAATTTCGTTGCTTGGAAATAGCGTGGCTATAATTTCTTCAAGGTACCGAGTGAGGAAACCGCACAATTTGTAGGCGGCAGATAGCAGATGCTCTCCAAATTAGTTCTTACCAGCCCTATCCCATCGAAGTCCTGCTTGGCTTGAAAAAAATCAGGCTCGAATAGGTCAAGCAGACACATCAATGCCGCAGGGCAAGCGGGTGAACCGGATAAGGCCGATATGAACTCACTGTAAGGTTCCCTCTCTCGCTTTTTGGAAAAAAACTGTCAAGAGCATGTGTGCTATACTGTCCATAGGAGCGACAGTTTATGCAGCGATTGCGGCTTTGCAAGTTAACTTGTCTTGGGGAGGTCATTGTAAGGAGTGCAGCACCCAAATAGCGGGGAGATTACAGTGGGTTTCCGAGCGTCCAGAAACAATCGTACATATGTATTCAAAGCTCCATAGCAAATATCAAGACGAAGACTCCTACGGGATTCGCCTTCGGGCATGAAACATATGTCAAGATTACCGGCAGGTATGGCAGCAAATTAGATATGCAAGAGTTTAGAATCGTTTTGACTCTAGAGACCAATCAGACAGGGATAACTCTGCAAATGTATCGAGGGCTCCAAATCGGGGATTTGAGCAAAGCTCGCTCGGTTTCGATGGCGTTGCTGTAGAAATCATAACGTTGTACGGCCTTCAACTCGAAGTATGGATTGTCAGGATGAAAGGCGCACCTGACCAAGATTTGCAACACTATGAGCGGCATTTAGCACTCCTGTTATATAGGTGTTGGCCCAATTGAGCATGGAAGCTTCCTTTGTTAGTCTCCAAGGCGGGTGGGCAGGGATGGTGAGCAACGCGACGAAAACGCGGGCTAGGAAGCTGGATGATACTTATTGACTGGAACTAGATCGCGAGAAACATCCTTAATAATCCGCAGATGACGGAAGCGCAAGTGAGGTCGCAGACAGCTCCAGATCGAGCCAAGCTGCAGCATTACCAGCGAGGGTAGTCGCTTGCAGGCCGTTGTAGTTGATGCATGGACAAGCAGCACTCCTGCTTCTCCATAGAGCTTAAGAGCTCGAGGCGATGCGATGCAGCTTCTTCTACATCTGCAGAAAACTGAAGCAACTGTATAGCCTGGGAGACATAGCCCCAGAGCAATGGTCGGCAGGGCAAGGAGCGCATGGCCCTCTCGAAAGTCGTATAGCACCTTCGGGGATGGTCACAGATTGGAGAGCACGATTGCGCAACATACCACATAAACCCTATAAGCCCTATAAACCCTATACCTATAAACCCTATAAACCCGATCAAAGCCTCTTGGCAAAACATCGGCTTCAAGCCCCAAGTGAGGTTTTTGGCCGGCGAGAGTCAAAGACAGCAAGAAAGCGAGCGGAGAGGGAGTAGAGAGGAGTGAAGAGGGTTTGGAGAGGATTGGAGAGGAGAGGAGAGACGACTGCAGACGAGTGGAGATGGAGAGAGGGAGGGAGAGAGAGGGAGAGATTTACGGCGTCTGAGCTGGAACCTCTGAAGTCCAGGTCGTGGAAACTGTAGGCTTCTTCAATACGTATGGTCGGAACAAGACATGATTGCAGCTGGAACATGCTGTGCTGTGGCCCACTAAGGTGCCCACGCACAGAATCAGCAGAACTGATGTGAAGCCAATCATTGCGCAGCAAAGCCTGCAACGGGCACAACACGCATCTGTTTGGATGCTGCATTGACGGTCAGCAACACGACGAAAGCAAAGAAGTACCGACTGTAAAAGCAAGTAATTTCACTCCAGAGGGGCAGACTCTACAGCCTCAAGCGTACAGTGCGATCGCTCTCCCACAGACAGAAGGTTTGGCGCCGGGGTGCTGAAAAGTGCGCGAAGTTTTCCGAAAGAGGCCGCTGACTGCGCGCCATTCCTGAGCACAGAGGCAAGCAAAGTGCCGGCTGCACATGGAGAGACACTTCTGTGCAAGCAACATGCAGCGTTTCTGCGACCTGCTCCAAGCCCAGAGCTCGAACCTGCTGTACGTCAACGCCCCCCACTTCCTTTTTCGGGAAGATGAAACCATACTTCCAAGCCCGGACACGCACCGCAGGTGGTCGCAGCTCACCTGTGCGGACAAGTGAACAGAATTTACATCGCAAGTCCTCGGGGTCCAGCATGTGCCAGCGGCGCAGCTGTGAGGATCAGCATTCAAGTATTCAAGGTGTCGGGATGCTTAGCTCCAGACTTGAACACAAGCCTGGGAAATCCTTGCTGGTTTGGCCCTTCGGATGCTTGGACATCTGGGCCTTCGGACCCAGGCAGTCTAAGTCTCCAGCCTCTGCATCCCAGATCGGCCCTTTGACTGCGATGATTTCGGGGGTGAGACTTGGGGCCTGCAGTTGCAGAGGCCTCGGCAGCCGCCAAGGGCCCCACAGTTGTGGGGTGCAGAAACAGGACTGTGCCGCTTGAATCCTCATCGTTACAGCAGGGCTAGACCACGTGGAACAAAGCAGATCACCCCTGAACCGGGAGTTTGGTTCCTCGTAGCCACCAGTGTTGCATTGTGTCGCCAGGAGAACCCCGCCCTTCTCAGGACGCACGAAACCTTGTACTTTCAATCCATCCAGACTCCTCCAGACTACGCTTTCGTGCTTCCTGCCTTGTTGCTGAGGAAAGGCTCCACCCAGGAATTCACAATGAGCCTGGGCAAGCCACTGCTTCAGAGGTTTCACTTTCCCTGAACCAGAAGTCCCACCTCTTCACCCTGGACGAACACCTGAAGGTCCACACAAGGACCTCTTCCGGATGTCGAAGAGCGTCAACGGGAACAACCCTCGACCCAACAAAGCTCCCGAAAGCAAAGAGAGAGCTGAGAGATTGAGAGTCGACCACGCTCCAGCGATACCAAAATGTTCCTGAGAAACCGGTGCAGCGTACCTTGAGCTAGTGGCTTGCGGGCCCTTCTTGTGGCTCGCCTACACGCTGACATTACCTCTAAGTGTTTCGTAAAGCCTTGGAACATGTTGTCCGGCAATGGTACTCTGTCCAATTCAAGGCCAGCCGCGTCATGGCATGTGACGTCCGCACCTTCCAGGAAACACTAGATAGATGGCTCAGCTTGTGTACTACGGACCTAACTGGTGCCAACACGTCCAACTGCCTCACCCTGAATCTCGTCATCTAGTCGGGAAACTCCTTTGGAGATCTGGGCCCACCAATTTCTGGCAAGGCAGCTGGCAAGCCCATAGCCCCTCAAAGCGACCTGCCAAAAGCAGGTGATGATGACCACCCCGGAGGAGATGAAGAACCCCCTTGGGTGTCGCAGAGAGTTGCTCGGGGATGCCGGGGTTTCGCTTCTTCCGGCTTTGACGGCTAGCATGATTACGGATTCAAGAAGGACAGACTGAACAGAAATACGCCCGGAAGCTGGACTTCGAGTGCGAAGCGAAGATGCCGACGTGCTAATCACAGCCCACTTCGGTGTGATACGCTTACATACAACTAAGGCTTTGGACTTAGGTGCCTTAAGCTGCTCTCAGGCTACAAGCGGAGAGCCTACACGGATTTTGGAAGCACCTAAGCATAATTTCGAGCTTGGGAGACTGGGAACGCGACGAGCCCGTTGTTCGAGCTCCTTTCTGTCCTGAAGCACAAGACACCCAAATTGTGCAACTTCCAGCTGAGACTCAGCTCGTGGAAGGCGAGCGAGTAGTTGAGGGGATCCACGGCGCCGTCCTCATCAGGTTGGCTCACATCAGCACTCCAGAATCCCGCTTAGGGGCATCATCTGGCTTGCAGGTATGACAGGTGAACTGACTGAAAAACATCCTCCAGCTCGAAGCGAAATTCCGGCAGTGGCGACTATGACGACTCCAGTCGACTCCCCACCACAGCCTCTGCCATCTCCAGATACAGCAAAGCCCAGCGACCTGCCGGGAATCAGGGTCTAAGGAGCTTGCAGGATTGAGAGCTCCGAGAGCTGAACCCTGAAGCCGCTCGGCCCCGCATAGGCCCTACGAGCCCCGCGACGCAGTCTCGCAAGCGCGCGAGGCAACTTCTTTGCAGCGGTACCCCCCTCGATATTGCGAAAAGTCTTGCAGCTCAGCAGCCTGCCAAAACCAGCGCCCAACAAAGCACGACAATCAGCGAGTCGGTACACGACCAAACCTCGAAAGCCTGGCGAAGGCTCTGCAGGGCTCGAGCTCGACTCTGTACCAAAACCGGGAGCACAGACCACGACCTTTGAGCCTTGAGCATAGAACTCGGATCATGTGACTCAGTGCGGCACTTTGTCCAAAGACTTCTTCTCCAAGGCGTCGACCAAATCCTGCAAACCTGAAAAAATGGAATGCTTAGGACTTAGGTCCGATGTACAACCTGATAAAGAAAGGAAGCCTCTCTGCAGGCCCTTGCAGTTGAGCCGCTCTCGGAAATCAGCTGCGTTCGCTCCTGCGGCCCAGGCTCGTCTTAAGAAACGCAAGGGCTCATGTCACTCACGTGGCTCGGCCCAACAGCATTTGCCAGGACGGGCACTGACTTAGACTCCAAACCTGGCTCCACGCCGCTCCTCGTAATTGATGCCGCCCCAGCACAGAAGCATCCCCGCTGCTCCGACAGCAATGGCTGCGTCCTGAACTCCATGACAAAGAGTGTCAAGCTGTGGAAGCTCCAGCACTCGCCAGTGAGCTCCCACACCGCGACCGCATGAACCCAAAAGGTGTTCGGTCGGTGGAGAGTTTACCCTGCGGTGTAGCCTTGAAGAATCATACTAGTAACTCGTGAGTCCAGGATGCGGAGCGTCGAAATCGCAACATGGCCGTAAGTCAAGTACCAGTACCATGCAATTGAGACTCAGAGTCGAGCGCATACGGTGAGACCGAGGGCTTGAAGCAAAAGGGTTACTGGATCTTCCCCAACATCCCCGCTAGGCCCACTGGTCTCAAACCTCGATCCACACCAGAAAAGTGCAACCGGTCCCGAACCTCCGGACCTTAGGGTGGCATCCTCGCACTCAGAAGTCTCCAGGAAAAAAGAAGCCCAAAGCTGAGCTCTAACTTGGTTTCCAAAGGGCTGAGGCCATCCCAGGCATGGCGCACACGTGAACCTGGGCGCGAGCATAAAGACACTGCTCGAGCCTTCTGGGCCACTACTCATTATGCGAAGAGATCCAGAGCGCGCACCAGAGAAACAGTGCACCAGGTCAACCGAGACACAACCGAGACACAACCAAGTCGCACTCCGTACAAAAGTATGAGTCACAGCTTACATGTTACATTCGCAAACTGGTTCCGGATATCTTGGAGTCTTGGAGGCTTAGGTGGGGGGGGGGTGGATGATATGCCAAGAGACACGACCGATCCGCAAGAAGCTGCTCACCATGTATGTGAAAGCCAAGAAGACGACGAGGAAATGGTAAGAAGCCCGTACCTCGGCCATGTGCTGGCAGGGGCGCTGGCAGACCGACGATCAAAACAAGCATGTGGGCTAGATGCAGACTACGAGTTTTCGTGCGCAGGCTTTGAGGCCAAGTCCAGCGGCAGCTTACCAGAGCCTTCCTCCTAGAACATCCCTGGTACAGCCGAACCTTCCATCAGCACCTCACAGAAGCCTAAGCCATCCTGATGGTAAAGGCCCCTTGCCATCAGGATAGTTTGGAAATTCTTCAGGCTGCCCACGGAAGCGCGCGTTCCTTTTAAACACCTCAGGACACGAAGCCCGTGTAAACATGCACATACATGCACCATAATGTCGCCACTCGCACTAAAGCTGGATCCACCCTGAATCCGAGACCCCCCCTCAAAAACATGCTGATGCCGTGAAGATACGCAGTAGAAGAAACGTCGTCGCAAGGCGACGCAACGCGAAGGGGCCACTTCCTCGGAAGCGGTGCCAAGACGGTTCTGAGTGTCGGGAGGCACTTGGTGCAGAGGCTGTGCAAGGTCAATGGAGGAAGGGCAAGCTCCAGGAGCATGTTGGGGAGGGATCTTTCGCTGTTCATAAACTGCAAAATACTGTAAACCTAGGTGTAGAGACCCTGGGTCCCCTTCATGAGCCATTTATGGATTTGCAGCGAGGGATGTGAATTTTTGTTGAAGTAAGGCGTGCCTTCTTTGGATTCTGCTACTCAGGGCCGAAAAGCTTCCAAGCTGACGTTACAACTTGCAGCAACCGAGATCTTCCCTGTGGCCCCAAGCAGCTTCAACTTCCCTGGCAGCCGAGGTGCCCAAGGCAAGTCGCTGCTCTTGTCGTCCTGCTGTCGAAAGGAAGGTCGCAGATTTCGGGCTCGTCACGGCCCTCAACAAAACAAAATCCAGGAAGCTCCTTTCACTTCTTATTCCCAGCTAAAATACCCGTTCTTCTCCAATCGACACAAAAAGACTGCTCCTCGTCGAGAATTCCTCTTTCATGGAACAGGAAGCACAAGAAGGCTCGCTAACCGCATCAGTAGCCAGAGATAACAGTTTCGACAACTTGCAAACGGAAAACCTGATGGGCCCTCCGCGCCCTCGCAAGAAATTATGGAAGCACGTCTGTACCTTCTTGTGCTTGGAAAAACGACATCTTCATTCTGTAACTCGACACATGTGACCAGAATCAACAGTGTGTCTCACTTCCAAAACACAGATAGAACACCTTTTGCCTTCTGCTCTTAAGTCATTGCTAGGCATGCGTCCCCTGGACCCTGAACGCTACGACATGCTACGACTCAAGCCCTTCATCTCTCTGATGCCGAACACCTTGCGCAACAGCTAAGCCATCTCTTCCAATTCAGGGCTTGGGGACCACAGGGTCTCACATCCCAAGTCAAGCAGATCTCAAACCTGCGCAGACCCGAAGCCCAATCACCCAGTGTGCCAAGCAGGGATCCTCTCGCGCCGGAAACAGAGGAAGCAGTCCAAGTGTCTTCGAGAGAGTCCGCGAAACTAGCATGTCCAACGGCCTTCACAGGCTGTGTTCCGGGCTGATTCGGCGCACCAGAGAACAAAGCAAGCTTGAGCGTCGTGCAGTTTGAGACTGCTTGTCCTGCTGGCTGGGTTTAACAAAATGACTCAGACTTCAGACTTCATTTCTCGTAAGCATGTGCTTTTGGTAGTGCGGAATTCGAATAACCCGCTCTCCAAACAGGCCCGGGGCCCAGGGCAGCGCAAATTGTCGGAAGAGGCCTCATCAACAGCCGCCAAGACCTGCTCCAATCTTCTTTGGCCTGTGAGGAGCAGAGCACATGAGCTTTTGAACGTGGATGTCTTCCAAGTCCATGTTGAAGGAATCTGGACAATGCGGATCTCTGCTTCCAGGCCTTGATATTGAATGAAGATGGCAAAAGTCAAACCAGGAAGCTGTTGAGCCTTTGACAGCCCGCAAGGGGTGAGGGATCAAAAAAAAATTAAATCAGGATCAAAAAAAAATTAAACCACAAAGATCAAAAAAAAATTAAAACCAGGATCAAAAAAAATTAACGCAGTAGGAATGCAACAAAGCTTGGGAAAAA